ATGGTTCACATTCTTTGTCTGGGGGTACGTATTGCTGCTTGAGGCCACCGCACATCCTTGACCGGAAAAGTCGAGATTCTTCAGATGTGCGTTGTATAAGTGCTCTTGAAATGATGGTCGCTAGGTCAAGGAAGGTTCGGTAGTAAAGTCGGCCCTTCTCGCAATGCTCCTCACTTGCGTAGCCACAGAAGTAGGCATTATTGTGGACCTCTCGACGGAAGCGCAAACTCTTACTGAAAGATCGGACCGACCCTCAGCTTTTAAGTCGTCCGCTGCTATACAGATTTACGCGATGCCAATAAATTTGATCCCGCCGGTAGTTGGAGCAGACCTTGCGCACTCTTCTGCTTGAAGAAGGGACGATGGTACTTGTTCTCCATGTATCGCGGCACTTCCCTCCATCTCCTTGTTAAGAGAAAGCTGGTGAATCATTTAGCGCTATATTCTTTCTTGTCTCGGCAGCTCGATGCCGGGCCATATAGCCAACCTGCGAACGAAATTCGTTTTCGTGCTGACGCTCCAGTTTCTCGTGCAAGCGTCTTCAGTGTTCTCTGCCTTTGCACGGCCAGCCTTAACAAGCTCTTGCAAACTTCTTGGAGACAGCCTTCTATCTTCCTTCTTCTTGCTCGCCCCAGTACCTCCTGCTGCATAATACCCGGAACGGCATTATATCATGTCGGGACTGGCCGTAGATCTGGAAGGCTAGCTGCAGTACCCTTCGTTAGAGATCTTCCTCACACTAGTGCAGCTCTTCCACCGCCGAATTGTCAGTTCTTACGCATAGCGTTCTTTTAGAGGTTGCCGTAATGTTATGTCAGTTTGGGTCTGTGCTGGGAGCCAGTTTTCATCGTGAGTGCTTTGAGTATTTTTCATAATTTGAGGCGATGATCTGTCGTTACTTAGCACAAATCCGATTTTTCGCTTGACTTCGTCTGTTGCTGTACATTACCTTTGGTATCCCATTTGTGGGAGAACATACTTGCAGACTGCCAACCTAGGCTGATAGCCAGGTTCAGAATCTCTCCCTCAAACGTTCTCCGTTCCTCTCCCTATACCTTCGTGCCACCCGTTTCATGCATCATTGTCACTGACATCAGCACTGCCTATAGCCAGAAATTGGACCTTCCCGGGACTGTTATGTTGGTGTCACGGCCAGGTTAAATAGAACACAAGTCAAATTCTGCAACCGGCTAAAGTGCGACACACGAAACTGTTGTTCATCGTGTCTACTCCGCAAACGTCGTATCCCCACAGCACATGATCCGATCATGAATCCTGTTCCACAGCAGAATATTGCCCTGAGTAGTGCGCTAAACCGTCATGGCCCGTAACGCTTGGGTCTATCTCCATTGGCGAGACTTTAACACTCTTTTCCAGCTTTCCCTATCCTTTTAGTTTTTTTTATTACGCAAAGCAACACATACTCTAGCCTTAGCTATTTTCATTCGTCTACTGAGGGCCATATGAAAATTGGTACTACTGGCGCTTACGTCAGGTCGGCAGTCTCCTGACTTTCGGTGCTTACCGATCCAAGTTCAAATTCTCAATTCGACACTAGCTTTCTTTGGCACAAGGTTTTCAATACTTCGGTACTTCTTGCATAAAACACCACCTTCTTCGGTGAGCAGTGATGGGTTCAGCCGCACCGATTCGAGTGACGCCCTAGCTTTACCACTGCGTTAAGGCGACCTTCTATCACGATTTTGCTGACTGTGAGCCTTTACGCACCGGATCCTGTCAACCTGACCTTACGCTGATACTAGAACTGTTCTTGCAATTTTCTGCTGACATGGCCGCATCCTCTAAGAGATCCGCTGGTTCTCCTTTTAAGTAGCGTTGACCTTCTTTAACCGACCCATCGACATTCGACCTTATCGATAGTAATCCTTCTTTAAGTTTGCCCATCAGCTGTCGGAAGCTCGCATTGACATCATAGACGGGAAAAAAATCACGCCTGTGGTTTCTGAAAGCTGCCATGCACAGCCTGCAATGTTGCATCGTACCGAGTGCCTATTCAATGCACAAGTGATACAGATAATTCCGCGAAAGTTTTCACTGAATACTACCAAGCTCAAATATTTCAAGCATCTTTTCAAATTTCTAGCAAAATAAAACATGTCAATCAGTGGGTTATTCTTCCGCTTTAATCGACTAAATCAAAACCGTAGCTCCTTGCTGCCCGGCAGACTTGATTACCAACCGTCTATTCAACCCATTCGCGACCTTTCTTCGAAAACTGCCTTTTCCGATCACCGATCAAGACCACTAAAATATGTCAGTCCTCGACGCGACCCTTCTTGAAATAATGTAAAGGTGGAAAAAAATGAAATATTTCTCTGAACGTTATGAGTCGGTGGTCACAAAGCTCACAACTATTTGTACCTCGATGCGCCCCAAGTGTGTAGAATTGCGTCGACATGGTGCAACAACTGTTCATCAATTCAGTGAGAGCTTGCAACCAAGCGAATTCCTCACAGCGTTTTGGCACCAAAGCGCCGGATTTTGCTCGTGTGTGGTGCCAGTCCTTCCAGAGCAAGTGTGGCTGCTAACGAAATAATCCTCTATATATAGCGGCTAGCGTGGTGTCTGTTGGTGTGTGGTCATGGTGTATGTTTGAACGGAAATTCATAGCTCGAGTCAACATGTAAGATAGCGCAGTGCTTCTTAAATATGTTATAGCGGATGGATGGACACAAGTCGGTACGTGATAGAAACCTTGTAACAACTTATGAATAACTGATAAACGGGCTAGAAAAGCGAGCATCATGCCAATTTCGTATGTGGTCGTTCATATTGCGTAAGAGCAGCGTCTATACTTACCAAGTCTTATGTGGCGGCGGCTCCCGAAACATTGGTTGGTACAATGATTTGCAAGCGATAGCAAACTGATAATAGGCTGATAAGATGCGCGCTAGAACGCAAAAGTCGTCGATTTCCTTGCCTGGCTCGCCTTAGACACCGCGAGCAAAAACCGATAGCTTACAAGTATATATGTGGGTGGACGGCGAACTTTGTTGAGTGCGCTGCCAGAAACTGATACGACTTGATAAGGACGATAAGGCGTGTCAGAACGCTGATTGCGTCGAGTTCCTTGTGGGCGCCTTCCTGACACCGGAGAACTTACTTACAAGTTATATGGGGTGGGCGGGAACCATTGTTAGTGGGTGCCAGAAACTTGCATAACGATTTGATAAGGGCGAGAAGGCGCGTCAGAACAGCTTGAAAATCGTCGATCCGTTGCCTTTCTCGCCTTGTCACCAGAGCAACTTTACTTACAAGTATTATTGGGGGTGCGACGGGGACATTGTTTGTGTGACTGCCAGAAACTGGATAACGATGTCGATAAAGAGGTGATAGCGCGCGTCAGAACGCAAAAGTCCGTTAGGTTCCGTCTGCAGCATTGACACAAGAGGTTCCTACTCACAAATTGTAGTAGTCGTAGAGTTACACAAAACAGGTACCTGACATTATTCGAATATATGTCTAGGCTTACTTAATAATTCGAATGCAAAATTTTACAAAAAACAAGCTTTCGGCGAATGATAAGGTTTTATTGATATTAATGAAACCCAATCTCATTAACGCTAATCTTTTGTGGCTTATCTAAATAATGATGAAAGTAATGAGATGAAAAGCATCAGCTCCTCATCTTATGTAAATAGGGCATATTTTCTCGTTTTGGTTTTTTGAGACTGACAGCATCCTTATTCACCGCCTAAATATCTTAATTCAAGAAAAATGCTGGATGTTTACTATTTGTGAACTAAATATGCAGTTCAGCTAGACGTTAGTCACGCGTATTCTTCGATGAGCTTCAGTTAAACTAGTGTGAGGCGGTCTACACAGTCAATAGTTGAGATAGGTTCGATGGAGTATCTCATGTGATTGATTCCATGGGTTTCCAATTGCTGCTAAAGCCTGTCCGGCGTGATGTCGCTGCGATACGGGGCGAAGCAAAACTGTCGTAAATAACATGAGTGTGATTAATACACTAGTGCTAACCCCTGGCTACTGCTACTTTTTTGATTTGATCAATAACGGGCGTGGCGACATGTTACGCGATTGTGCCAAATTGTCTCCATACTCAAAAATAAACTGTTATGTACAGCAGCTGATTCTAATCTTAGTGAAGGGGAAGCACGCGGACGGCGCGCGGCGCTCTATTCGTCTGCTCCTGCAAAGGTATAGTCATTTTTCTCATTCGGAAATTGCCACGTGGCGACGAATAATGACTGCTCATTGGAGCACCCTAGAGGAGCAGCAGAAGCAGCGTCAAGCGCCGTCGCGTAGATCCCCCTGAGCTAATTTAGCACCCAGAGCATTTCATAATTATAGTCCACCCTCAAATTTCACATTTCCAGAATAAGCACTCACTTAGGAATTTCTCTATCATTATCAGCGGATTCTCCAGCACGAGTGACCCCCGTATTCAAATCTTGGCAACAGCACCATTTTTCTGAACTTTTTAATGATAGCTCTATTTTCGTTTCTGCACCGTTTCATAATTACAGACTTACCAAGAAAAAATGATATTTATCTATGTTACTAGTACACGTGAGAGGTCAGTGCTCCTCCTGCGTTGATCCATAATGGTGACGCGGCTATTGCTAGGGCGTGGACCCTTAGAACGTCCAGTCGATTTCATTGTCAACTGGTATGTCTAGCCCAGAGCCGGTGGCGAGGAAAAGAGGCTGTGATCTCCAGTGGACACAAACCGTCTTTATTGAGTCAGTTCAGTTGCTGGATCTCATCCGATAGTAGAGTAGGAAAGTAGGCATGAGGTGGCCAGGCCCGTAGTCCAAGGCTCGTCAACCGAGGAAGGGGAGAGACACCCCACGGGGAAGGATGTCAGACTACTAGTTATTGGAGCGTACACGACAAATACTTTCCTCGCAGCTATTTTGCACGCTGGGCAACCCCGATTCGCAACAGTAATCATTAATTCCCCTACTCGTTCCCTTAATCACATAATCAGCATGAGCTTATTTCGAATTACACAAATGAACAAGGAAAAAATTGGCTCACTAAATAATGATCTTATTAATTTCAGTGTATCTGCGGCGTTTCCTGTGGCATTGTTTGGAGGTTGGTGCTTTACTTATCCTGCGTGTCCGTTTGTCGCATATATTACTATTTACGAAAGCAGGTTTTGATCATTGCACTTCTGCTCTCCTCAGGTGATAGAAACGTGCAGTAAGAGTATCACCTGCTCTACGATTATATATTTTGATGCAAGTTGCTGAGAAAATTTACAACATTATAAATATCCGGTAAAGATCGTAGTGCTATCCTCATGGCCCTAGGGACAAATGTGGGCGATTCAATAATCTTCAGGATTATGTACGAGATGTCACCTTCGAACATTCAACAATTCGACTAGTTACTAATTTGATCAGCTATTTTAATGAACCACATTCCAGCACCATTCGGCCTTCCAGCGCCGTCAGTTAACACCGTCAACGTTGGAATAGTATCTGGAACAGGTGTTGCAGCACCACCTCTATTCCCTTACTTGATGGTGAGTTCATGTAGTACTTGATCAGCGCCTGTGGCGCAGCATCATACTTACACGGCTCTTGGTAACAGTAAATCTATTTTTTATACTAAATGGGACACTTGCTGGAGTAGCAGAGCTCTTATAAGATCTAAGGAAAGAGACCCGCTCAGGCCTTTCAACGCACAGCGATATGGAAAGAGCCTTTGAACTTGTGTATAAGCTGCGCTGTTTCTCGCCTATTTCTACCATGTTTTTGCTACTATCCTACTCCAAACGTTGACAACGGCGCGCGTTTCGGCCTTTTTGACCACGTGAACTAGGCCAATTTTGCGAGAGCGGCTGCTTCGCCTCATATCCTTGAATTTTACGTGATAGCTATGCGAAACACTAATGACCCAAAACCATTACAGCAATATTGAAGGCGTAGAAGATACTTGGTGTATAGTGTAACGTGTAATTGTCATAAAGAAGCAAATTTTACTATAATTCTCTGGTGTGGACGTAAAGTATCTTTGATGTGGTTATGCCAGAATAAACGAACATTTTTCTATCCGGTGGGTTTGAAATTACACTTAATTAAATTAAAATGTAATGTAATTAAATTACATGGTTATGAGACAACGTAGAAAACGAGAAATGAACCGAGGTGCCAATTTCATAGCGCTTAGGAAACCTCTGCTAATCTGAAGCATCTTTTACGGCAAATCATTTGGCGAAGGAAAGGAGGCTAAATACCATTCGAAGCATGCGTCAAGGTTGGCAGAACTTGCCATGAGATTTAGAAATCGATTTAGAGGCAGCATACGTACCGGTTTGAAGCGGGAAATAACTCATGAAGAGAAGGTCAAAAGCCATGGGTGATTTGAGCATGCAGCATGTTGGGCGGAGTAACATGCAAAGTCGCAATATGTTCCAGACATGGTACGGAGACCGTGAAGAAAGCAGGTAGAATCTGACGAAGAAGTGCGGCCAAATTTTCTTGGCTATAGGGCTGAATTTGGGAATTTTTGCGACGCTACAGATCGCCACAGGACCGTGTTGCGCGCGCAGTGGTATGTGGCGCCATTTGATGTAAATGTGAAGAGCTATGCTGTGTGTTTGGTTGTGTGTCGCACAAAATTCTCGCGGCGCAGCCTCGATAACATGTTGATTGCATGAGGTAGGTGGTCTAATGAGAATACAGACAGTAGGTAAAGGAAAGAATCAATTACCGGTAAGCTAGAGAGGTATCACCGATTTTTTGCGCCTGTTGCGGTGGAAGAGGGATGTTGTCCGAGATCGATCTTTCAGCGAGGGTCAACCTTCGTTGCGAAAAAATTCCAAAATTTTTACGATCCGCTCCCTTATAGAGAGTATCAGCACGAACCCCCCCCCCTTAGCTGACGTATTAGCTATTTATGAACTTTTACATATTTCTATGCCCATCATAGATGTATGAGCCTCCATCGACGTGGAAAGAAGTAGTGAGCAAAGGGAAGTGCGTGCGCTTTGTTCCGCTCAGAGGATGGGAATCAAGGCGCCATGGAATTTCACTCATGAAATGGAAGTATTTTCCAATTTTTCCATGAAGCTAGACGTGGTTGTGATCGTAGAGGCTTCTACTTTCAGAAAACAACCAAGTTCTTTTTTCGAACTTCCAAATCGCCCTTTCATTAACTTAAAAACTAGACCTTGCAGCAATCACGTTGCGATACAGACCTCTTCATTTGAATGGTTATATCTTTCTTCAAAAGCGGTTTCATGAGATGGGATGCAAAAATTTGGAAACTACAAATAGTCTTCTTACCAAAAAGTTTTTAAAATTTTGCTAGTGCTCAATTCTTCAAAAATCTTTCGTTGTTTCATTTTTCGTGCACATACCAGTTTTTGACATTCATACGTTCATATCTTCCTTTATAGCAAACTATTCCCAGACGTCCAAAGCTAAATAGGAACTAGAAGAATAACGCTTTTGAATCGAGTTTTTCAGTTTTTTCAAAGTTTTTTAACAATCAACTCTTTCATTGAATAGTCCCGTTGTTCCGTTTGTTCCCCCTTGGTTTTTTTCAAGCCATTCTCCTGAAACGCGACTCTGCAATCCATCAATTTCCATAATTCCTCAAAAATTCGTATAAAAATGAGGAGCGGTAGGAAGTATTGAAGTCTCTGTGAAGAGTGCCTTACAAGGTATGCAAAATTGAAAAGTTTTCTTTTGCCAGAATTTCTGAGGTGGTCCCTAGAAGTCAATTTAGCCTCGACTTTCTTTTACTTAGATTTGTTCTAGAAGCATCTAGATTTTTTTGAAAAGGAAGTTTGTCTGCTCACGGCCGCTGACAGACAAAGCGTTTCAGAGTAAAAACTCCTGTTTGAGGGACGCTGTGCACCTGTCCGTGTTTAGCAGTCGCACTAGCATTTGAAAGTATTCCACTCCCCTGAAGACGGTAATATAATAATATCGCGATTGTAGTTGCGTTGTACTGCTATATAGAATTCTGTTTTCTCCATTCAATTTACCGCGGGTCCCTGTCTAGACGACCCCCTCCTTTCGTTCGGCCGCCCTTCTCGTTGCTCTTTGCGCAACGGGCGGTTGGTCCTGCTTCGAGCCTTGGCACAGTTCAGTCAGCTAGGCGGTTACTGTAGCGATTCAGGATTATATAGCCTCACTGAATGGCTTTTTCGCCCTCGTCAGGGTTTGGCAAAGCCAAAAGCTGATGTCATGTGCTCACACGCGCCTCCTCAATACTGAATGCAATTGCAATATCTCAGTAAACCACCCAACACACCGACCGGTAAGGATATGCTGACATGATTCAAGCCGACCAATGCAGCCGTGGCGCGAGGAGAGCTACTCTCGAAGGGCTTGACTTGAACTAAGTACTACCACCTCTACATTCCCGGTCGTAAACTCGTGTATATCGAAACTCTGATAGGTTGGAGAAGGGCGCAGTTGATGGGTTTGTTTAGTCCATGGTTTGCGCGCTGCGATCCTCGGGCTCATACGCCAGACCTGACATCGCTAACCTCAATTAAGTAACTTGATCCTCGTGGTACTAAATGCGATGATCTGCAAGCAGCGTCTCATTTTTAATGCTCGCATGCGACCGAATGTCTTCATCGTAATGAAGGGCGAGGCGGTTTCCTTCGAAGACGAATGACGATGGAAAGCCAACTTACAAGAATGCAAGATAGGGGTTCTGATAGAGGCAGGAATACAAATGAAAACCTACGAATCTAGAAGTAGTACTCACTTGACGCCTGCTAAGTTCGAGTAGCGTTTATGTTGACATGTATATCAAGGCGATGCCTTGCCCTGGACACACGGAGAAAAGTCAACTTTATTCGTCTGCATTGGAACGTAGCAGGTAGGACACGGATGGCGGACCGCACTCGATTCGAATATGCATTGTGCCAGCAGTCTGCACTTTTCGGGAAAACTCCTTCAACCTTGTTTATCGTTTTCGGAACCCTTCTGTCAGAACTTCCTGTTTACGTGAAGGAGTAATGAAGCTAGTACTTGAAAAACGTGTTAAATTCTTTCGCCGTTGTAGTGATCCCTCCTCGATAGTTGCGGCAGCATGTCCTAAAGTTACAACTATTCCAATTGGTCATACCAAACACGCAACGCATTAGTGCAGATTTTGTCAATGTCATGAAGGCTACCTCCACGTAGATACACTTTCCATGCATGCCATGCGTGAAGGTGCGTGCGTGTGTGTGCGTTGTATCTGCACTGGTCTGAAGGCTGAAAAATGCATTGTTGACAGGAGAATACATGAGCCAAGTCTAGAGCGTTGTCCGAAAACAAGGTTGTTTTTTTACCTATGCCAATCCCAGAGCATGCTTGCCACCAGTTTGTCGCAGCTCTCAGCGCCCAGATAAGCCTGCTCACCGGGCACATTCTATGCGCGGGAATAGGAGCGAAAATTATTCTAAACGGAAGAGAAACCTCAACAAGTTAGCAACAGCTGCGAAGAGAATTGAAAAACATCTGCGGGTCAACACTAGCTGTCATACGAGGACGCCCGAATGTGGATAATCTTATCCGAGGGCAAAATATGCCTCGATCAAGGTGACCGAACGTTCGCGATAAAATGATCATATGGAACCGCGCTGAGGCCTGATGCGACACATAAGATTGGAAAGAGTTCAGTTCCATTTCGATCAATCCTTCGTCATCTCCTTCGGCTACTCCTATAAAGAATGAGCTTGAAGGATTGTACAGGGAGAGAAGTTTCCGAGATAAGTCGTAACTTTTTCAAGGGTACTGTCGCAGAAATACAACGTATAGTTGAGGTCTTAGTCGAAAAGCTTACATTGAACTCGACGTAAGCGAAGTTTTGGAATGGAACGGTGAAAGTGTGTCTCCATCATGCTCGGATAGCCTATTGTAATAACTATCAAGTCAAAATTCTTACTCGCATACCGAATGCGGCGACCTATGTCGGCTGCTGAAAAAAATCGATGGAGCAAACTAGAAGACATAAACATGATACGCAGTGAACGGTTCTATTTCCCGCTCCATATCTGTTACTATCTGTTGTGTGATGCGTCGTCGAAGAGTGAAAGCTATCTTGGTTTTGTTATGCACATTAGAAAAAGGCTCGCTCATGGACGCCTCTCGACCCCGATTTGACTGCATCATAATTTTTCTTGCACTGCTCGCTCACTGCTGTAATCTATGATGTTCTTCTTTTAGTTCCCTTTTTTGCACAGAAAGTCACATTTTCATGTGAGTAGCAGCTTTTTTGTAGTCTAGGTGCAACAAACCAATTACTTACAGTTCCCAGCTTCGCTCATCCTGTAACAGCAAATCTAACACTGTGCACCCTCCGCCAGAGGTATGTCATTCTTTTTCTCAACCCATTTTCTCCAACCCAAAATTTCCTACATGGCAACCAGCCCAAGAGAAGAAAGTCGATTTTCCACATCGAGTGGTCACCGCGTGTTTGATCTCCATGAAAAGGATTTCAACCTTTTTTAAATAAATTAAATTAAACTCTGAATTTTTTACCTCTTATTCCCTAGTTACCTAGAAAACGCATGATCAATTAATTTTCTTTTTATATGCTAGTGACTGCTTTTATGTGACTCCTTTACTCATTGGATTGTCCTGCTGCTCTGAAGTTCGTATTAACGTTCGGATCAGTTCGAACACATTACTGTTGGCGTTGGAATACTTTTGAAGCATCTACATAGGTACTGAGCCGAGGTTTAGAGAACAGGTAGGTTTTCCCTTCTGTCGAAAAATTGTGAAGACGGTGGGTGACTAAAGCAGAATAATGTTTGCCTTTTCTGACTTCAATTGCCCACGCAAAGTTATATCGAAGATACGGGGGCTATGTGGGCAAAAGTCCTCGCTCCAGGGTGAGACGAACTCGCACCGCCAGCTTCCGGCCCCTGTTTCAGCTACCAATAATACCACCGGGGCACCACCTCACTTTGAGTGGGCTTTTGCCTCATGGCAAAGTGTATTGCCTATTACTCGGCATCCTTGTAAATTCCATTTATATTTACTTCAAGGCGCTAAACACGGAATACGAAATAACGGATGGGAAACGTGCATACCAACCTCTCCACGGAGCCGACTTGACTTAAAAAGAACTTAAGTTAGCTTATGTTAGAGGGAGAATATAAGCTTTCTCATTGTGGTGATCGAGTGTTCGTTAAAAATCCCGAGCAGACAAGCGGCGAGTATTGGTTACGTGAAAGGATTGTGATCGAAGTCAGCATGATCAGAGCAGCCGCTAGCTTGTTCGGGAGGGGACTGGGACTCGTCTGGTGGATGTCCTAGTGGCGAGAAGGTGAGCGTTAGACCAATGTCGTGGCGAATCTGCGTTCCTTGTGGCGGAGATGTAACTTCGGATACATGCTAAAGAGTTTTCCCAGAGGAGGGATGTTCACGATTAGCAGTGCAACTAATTACACTGCCCAATGCAGCGGATGCACTTAATCTAAGGGCCCTAAGCTCATGAATAACATATAACTATAAGCTTGCCCCATAGAGTACAGTACTGGCCGTTTGCAATCAAAAATTCGCCTGCGAATACACGCGAATCCTCATTAATTCTCGTGAATTCGTCATAAGTTCGGGTAGAGTGAAGTATTCCAGAACGAAAAGCACGCGTGGAACTCGAGCTCTTCAGCGCTCACGATGGCGAATGTATATTCAGAAAGCTCGATTTGGAACTGCGCCATGGCTACCGATTTTCATTCCTCAAAAAGTTATTGCTCGCATGCTGCATGTGATATATACCGCTTATTGGCGGGCAACCGCCACCAGCAAAAAGCCCCCTATTACGTTGACCCATAGAGAAGGTTTGTAGAAAGCTGTAAAGGAAGCGAGAATTTTCCTTCAGCAGACTATGGGTCACTTGTCTGTGGGAATTTGTGGCAATCTCGGTTCGCAAGTAAGCGTTTCCTCTCCGGTGAGCCCCAAATCATGCTCCTCGTCGCCCTGTGGAAATTTCAGAATTTTCTGGGCATTTCAGATGAACTCGCGTAGACGCTGAATGTGCCCCGATCGCTTCCCCCGTGAAAAATGCTATCGAAATGCCTATGCATTACTTACGCCGTTGAAGCTTCGGTTTTTTCACCGTTTTCAGCCTCCGCTATTGCAGATTGGCCCATTCACGATTACTACCCAAATCTCAAAGTTTCATTTTCGTCGAAACTTTGTCTATGAGTAATTCGATTGCCCTGATTGAATATGAGCACTTCATTTTGCTGCTGTGTATTTGGCGCCATTTTGGCACGCGTTTGCTCATTTGGCGCATACCGCTGTTTTCCCCAAGATCTGCATTAAACTTCGTCATTTGTTCTTATTTGGGGTCCTGCTTCCGAAAAGATACCATGTTCATGGGCACTGGCAAAGTTTAGCCCGTTTCCGCGCCGTTTGGCGCTACGGCTCTTGCCACACCCGAAGTCTCGGGAAAACGTGTGTATACAGGGGTTATTTAGCGTTCCTGATCATCGATTATACTATTGCAGCTTGACGTCGGCGCCATGTGTGTACTACAACCTTCACAGTCCAGAGCGTTACTCCTAGGTACGCTTTCTCAGAGCGCCGACGGTCAGACCGTGGAAAGGTCATGGAATCGAGAACTTCCATACGACGAGAAGGACGTCCGCCTGTGGGAAAGGCTGCGCTCGATCAGACTTTCCTACGAAGGGAACGAGCCAGACGCGTGGAAAACTGTGAGCTTAAGGCCGGCACATATTTCCGTTTTCCACGTTGGAGATGCCCTGCTGCGTTGGGTTGACAGCAGTTCACTTGTAGCTTCTCCTAGCTACCACTGAGGTGTCTGTCCCGTCTCCGTATGTACTACTTCATGATGAGCTTGCAGTCGGAGTTGAAGCGTCTTGTTCCTCCAGAACATCCGACGACACTTGCTCTTTCAATGCCTTTCCAAACACCAACTGTGCCTGCGTACGGCAACGTCGCGGTTGTATTTGCGGTTGAATAACCTGTGTTTCGTCATTTCTCTCGCACCCCGACCTTCCGAGATCGCGGGATTCCTCCTGAATTGCTTAACAGCATTCGGCCGCGGAAGAAGCGCTCCACCTGAATTGAACTTCACGCTTGTCCATGTCGCGCAGTCCAGAAATAGGGCAGTGTTAGCACACATCTAGGAAAGTTCTCGAAAAAGGATCCTTTCGGGCATGAACGTAGACCCTGAATCGTTCGCTGTCAGTGCGGCACTGCTGCTCAACCTCCCCAACATGAAGAAGTTTCAGCAGAAATTTTGTGAAAAAAAATAAAGCGGGTCGCCCCCCGTCCGGGCGGGGGGGGTTGGTGGCGCCTAAATTGGCTGCCGAACGGCGCCATAATGGCGCCAATACACCAGCATCAATAATACGAATGTCATCATTTCGTTATCAGGGCTCGACCTACCCCACATTAGACAAAGTTCGACGAAAACAATTGACTACTTTGAGACTTCTTGGGTCGTAATCGATGGGGCCAATCGGCTAAGGGGGGAGGCTGAAAACGTTGAAAAACGGCAAAGTTTCAACTGGCGAATGTATGCACATCAAATTCGATATCATTTTTCACGTGGGGAAGCTAGTCGGGCGCATTCAGATTGCGAGTTCTATCTGTGAAATGCAGAAAAATCTGAACATTCCACCAAGGGAATGACGAGGAGGCATGTTTTGGGCCACACACGGAAGCAAGCTTTATTGCAACGAGTTTTCCCCACGAAATTTCCACAACAATGACCTAGTCTAGTGAAGGAAAGTTCTTCGCCTTCCCCCTTTACAGCTCTTCTCAAACATTCCTCTAAAATGGGACTTGTCAGGCAAAGGCATAACAAGGGTGATGTTTTGGGGTAACCCTCTCGACGGAGGACGCTCACCTGGCGAACCAAGGTTTCCTATACTGCCCTTACAGCGACAAGTGACGCGTAGTCTAGTGAAAGAAGTTGTGCCTATCTTCACCGCTTTCTGCAAAACTTTCCTCTGAAACATGGAAAATGTCACATAATAGGCCCATTATGGTCCTGCCGCGAACTGTTCCACCGATCGCCACTGATTACAGCGGACTGGGGCATATTGAGAGAGAGGGAACACGTAAGCTAGTAAGCGGCTTGAAAACGAAAATAAAGATCTAAGAATCGGCCATCAACATTCATCTAACCACAATGTGTGATGAGAGTGAGTAGACGTTCAATTTTTGCGAACACCTTCAACGTTACAGGCTTGCGAAATAGTAAGGTCCAGTCGCTGAAAAAAGCAAACCAACAAGCTAGCCTAAACTCTATGAATCGCTCAATGAGATATGATGCATTGCCTCTTTACTGCAATCACAAATCTCGCCGAAACCAACCGCGCTTTCAAGCTGTTGAAGAGAATTGGTCGGTGTTGATTAGGCTTTTCTGCTTGACCTATAGTCGAATTTCTCAACTGGAATTTTCTCGAATTAAACTTTTCCATAGAAGCGATGTGTTCATTTGTAAGCATTTTCTAATACTTTGCTCGAGCTATTTATTTCAAGTCTACTTTCAGTCATCATGGTTATAATTTGATACTTAGCGATAAGATCCTAAACTAGGTACCGACATTAACATTGCTCCAAGGGAGCGTCTCTCGCAACAGTGAAAATAATCAGACTCTCGTTAAATTTATAGTCATCCCTTGTTCTCTGACACTCCGCTGGTGTTCAATGTCTTTTAGGGGTCCTAGATTCGCGCGTTATAATGCTGACATGGAGTTCTCAAGAAAAAAGGATTTTTATGCAACAGTTAGCGCAGGCAGGGGTTTCAAGCTAATTTGGCCATCTAGGCGGTCAAAACTGGCCCAGCAATAAAGTTTCAAAGAAATGTCGTTTAATTTCGGCCGTACCTCTAAAATGCCTGGAAGGGGTCGAAGATCCTCTTGGAGGGGCGGATACCCATAAGGGGGATGCGCCCGACATTCGCTTTGGCCAGTAGCGCTGCTCGAACTGAGCGTCGTTGCAGGAACCGCCCGCGCTGTATGAGGGGCGATTCAATCAAGATACTCAACTGAACCTTCTTCGATTTGCTGGCAAATAGTGTAATGTATTTGCACGCATGCCTGGCTATTTGGCGCAGCAATCAGACTGAAGCGCATGTTCTCCGGAGCAGGTTCTGGACAACGTCGTCCTAATCCACCACATCCCCTGACGGCGGGGAGTCCCTTGTCTCACACGCCGCCTGCACGACGTTTTTTTCTAACTTTTTCTATCGTCCTTGACTCACCTTCTTACCCCTGCCGCATTTTAGGTGGTCCGCGATCGTTCCTGATGTTTGCTTTAAGAGTGAATGACGCGACTTTCTTGGGAGGCTTTATAGAAAATGTTCAGAAAGACGCTGAATGAATGAGTGAATTGAAGGTACCGCCAGTTGCGATATATTCTGGGGAATTCTTGAGGGAAATACATGTTATGAGCTACCTTGGGTGGTCAACGACCGATTTTCTGCGCTGGGTACTTCACTTGGCAGGTTTTGAAATTCAAAGCTCTGGGCAATGAGTGTAGAGCAAAACACTGCGTTTGCTCAAACGGATCTCAGTCTCTTCCGAGTGAACATATAAGATGATGCATAACAACTGGGACTTGACAGAACATTTTCTTTTATAAAAAAAGAATTCACTCTTGGCAGTTTCAAGCTGCACTAGCTAGCAACACGTGAAAGATCTAAGCGACTTCACGTCTGTATGCTACCATTTATAGGGAGGCATGGTGTGAAGAAGTGGACAGTGCCACAAAGAGAACTCTCGACAGAAGTCTTCAACGACGTCGGCGTACTTAAATGTAACAACCGTACCGTTCAGAAAGAAAAAATTTTACAAGTTTGAACACTATATTAACTTTCCTGATTTGATAGTTTTTTCAAGGAAGTTACAGCATTTAAAAGCAAAAAACTCGTGCATTTCAAAAATTATACCCTTGTTTGAAAAATCCAAATGGGTCAAGAGGTGCATATAACTTTCTAAATTACAGCACAGTTTTGAAAGCTCGCGCTTCACAAGTTTTATTCTGTATTTACCCGAGAGAAATGTTTTCTCATTATTCTACTCAAATTCAGTACTGCTCATGAAGCACTCCTCTAGTGACATTCAAATCTTCTTTCAGATTG